TAAAAAATTATGTATATTAGAATATACATATTGTTAGTGTAGGTGCTCAAGATCCAACTATGTTTGGATGAGCTTGAGTTATTGTATTATTGCATCGTTTATTTTAATAATAATAAAAGATGTCTTTCTTTCTATTAATTCTTATGCATTTATGTTTAGTAATTCAGTAGAATTAGATAAAAGTCCTTATAATTTGCATTTACAATAGTAATTGATCGAAAGATGTGAGACAAACATTAATGCATATGAATGATATCATTAAACGACCCAAGTCGTAGCATTGTCAATAATGGACGTTGACTATATACGGTTAGACTTGTGAGTGCTATGCTCATGCTATATGATAGCAGTAAGAGATTTCACGCTTATTTGTATGGTGACGCCAAAACAAGCACTTAAGTGATTTATGTTAAAAAACATATCACTAGACATGACTCGTCATGAGAACCCATTTGGTTTATTCTGTGAGAATCTCATATGAGATGGATACAAGTGGTCCTTAGACTTGAAGTCATCACAATTATCTCATTAGATAATTTATATACTTTGATGCTCGTTTCGATGGATCCAATAAAAAGTTGTACGTAGGCAATTCGTTAGGTGCACTAGAAATCCAATAGAGGTAGATGTATGACTAAGATAGGATATGTCATTCTTTGTATTCTAAATGAGTGATCACATTACACTTCGATGAATGTCTAGTCAAGAAATCCATGGATATAGTAGGAGTACAACAATAGAGCATAGTTGATTTACTATAAAAGCTAAGACATTTGGAAATCAAAGAAAACTTGTGTGATCGAATCGAACAAGATTTATAACCAAGTTTGAGATCACGCTATGATAAATGGATATAAGGACTATGTTGTATGGTAACTATGTTCGAAAAAGGTAATAATTGATTAATTAATCATCCTAGAAAATTGAGTAGTCATGATGTCTTGCTAAATACCAATCTTAATTTATGTATCAAGAGACAAAAAAGAAGTCTTTTATTCTTGATACATTGCCAACATATCTAGGAGTCTATTAAGTCACACGCATAAGTTTAAGTATTCACATGATTAAAGAAAAGTAAAGATATTGGAAAAAGTTTTCAATTTTGGAAAAGGTTTCCAAAAAATGAAAAGATTCATGAAATGGAAAGTTTCCTTAAATGGAAGTTTCCTAAAATGGAAAATTTCCTATTTTAGAAATCAGCTTCCTAATTTGTAAGTTGGTTCCAAATTTGAAAATAAACAACCTAAAATGAAAATAAGTTTTCTAATTTAGGTTAAAGGGTATTTTGAGAAATTGTTTCCTAATGTGAGCCACCTAAAATTATCTAAGCTTATTTGTTTAGATAGTCTAAATAAATTAATTGGATTAGAATAATTTAAGTATTTAGTAGTCTATTTAGTCATATGCATAAATTTAAGTATTCACATGATTAAAGAAAAGTAAAGACATTGGAAAAAGTTTTCAATTTTGAAAAAGGTTTCCAAAAATGAAAATTTTTCTAAAATGGAAAGTTTCCTTAAATAGAAGTTTCCTAAAATGGAAATTTTTCTATTTTAGAAATCAATTTCCTAATATGTAAGTTGGTTCCAAATTTGAAAATAAATAACCTAAAATGAAAATAAGTTTTCTAATTTAGGTTAAAGGGTATTTTGAGAAATTGTTTCCTAACGTGGGCCACTTAAAATTATCTAAGCTTATTTGTTTGGATAGTCCAAATAAATTAATTGGACTAGAATAGTTTAAGTATTTAGCGACTTATTAAGTTATACGCATAAATTTAAGTATTCACATGATTAAAGAAAAGTAAAGACATTGGAAAAAGTTTTCAATTTTGAAAGTTTCCTATTTTGAATAAGGTTTCCAAAAAATGAAAAAATTTTCTAAAATGGAAAGTTTCTTTAAATAGAAGTTTCCTAAAATGAAAATTTTTCTATTTTAGAAATCAGTTTTCTAATTTAGAAGTTGGTTCCAAATTTGAAAATAAATAACCTAAAATAGAAATGAGTTTTCTAATTTAGGTTAAAGGAAACGAGTTTTTTAATTTACGTTAAAGGGTATTTTGAAAAATTAATTCCTAATGTGGACCACCAAAAATTATCTAAGCCTTAAGAATAAATTAATTGGACCATAATGGTTTTGGCCTAATAGGTTTAATTAAAAACCTTAAGATATTTTGATGAAATGATAAACATCAACCTTATTGGATAAGAATGAATGTTTTAGAGATAAAGATCAAAAAGCCCACATATAAAATAACTCCTAATCCTTAGAGGATTAGGAAGCAACAATATAAAGTCCTTAAGGGACTCATTGCGACCCCTCCTTGTTCTTGGAGGAAAAGGAAGTCTCTCCTATAAATATATGGGAGAGAGGTGCACCACACACAAGAAAAAGAGAGAATTTGTGGGAGAGAAAATTCAGCCAACGAAGAAAAATAAAAGGGACACACGACTCAAAATAAAAAGATAGGAGAAAATTATTTTCTCACTAACCCTAGCATGCCATCTCCTCTCTCATCTCTTTAGGTTGTTACAAAATTGCTCGGATTAGATTTTCATAGGAAACAATACATAAATAAGAAAAGGTAGAGGAGTGCTTCTTTGTGGGTGTTTGGATCGCGTGGATCATTAATAGAGGCTAGATACTTAGACGACTTTTTTGTTGAAAAATTTAGATCCGTGCTACAAGAAGTAATTATCTATTCATTGCTTTAATTCATGTATATATATAGTTCATTGATTCAACAAGCATGATCTTGGGCCTTTTAGATGGAGAATTTTTTTTGTTTATTCCACACCTCCATAGGATGTATGATCCTTCATATATGTATATATATATATTATCAAAATAATAAATAATATTAGCATAAAGAACTCTACTTAAAAAATATGGTACGGTTGGATGTTGTTTTCAAAATATAATTCTTATTATTTTATTTGAGGAGAATTGATTTCAAAATATTCATTTAAAAAAGTACATATTAAGCGTTTTCTTATGTATATGCACTATCAATTTTTAATTTAAAAAATCATAAACTTAATTTTGATATTTAATTATTTATAAATAATACAATAGCAATTTTATTATATTTTTATTGCTCAAATATTTGGTCAAGTGAATTTCACATGACACGGATAAATAAAGCACACAAAATCAATACAACCACATACAAATACAAGCTTCTATTCAATATAGAAAAAAAAATTCTTCAAAAACAAATACAACCGTCAAATAAGCAATTTTTTTTTTTTTAAGAAAGACATAAAATTGTCTCCACTCTAAAATTTTAGGCATGAAAAATGCAATCACCATATTACATTCATAAAATCATTTTGCATGGATTTTAATAAGCCAACAGTTGCATTAACTATTTAAACTTTATCTATAGTCACTTTTGAACTTTATTATTATTTATAGGCATTACCTACTTTTGCTATCCTCGAGGTCACATATAGGGTACATCTAGTTTTTCATACCGAACACAATTTTTTTAATGCACTCTCTTGATATAAGTCACCAAGCATGATATTTATCGGAAAGAAATCATTCTTTTAACTAGTGTTGAATATGCATAGTTTAATTTTTTTATTTTATAAAATATATTTTTTCATTATTTTTTTATATTTTTACTTGTTATTTATTTCTTAAAATAAAAAATCAAAATAAATTTAAAATAGCAAAAAGGACTAAATAATTAGTTTTTGATACCAAATGGACTAATCATTTCATTTCTCAAAGCGAGAGGGATTAATTTATAATTTACTCTTGAATAGTAAGTAGCTCGTAAATAAGAAAAACGTAAAGCAATGAAAGACCGAAGCATTAAATGCCCTATTTGAAAAGAAAAGGAAATGATGGAAAAAACCTAAAAAACAAATTAAAAGTAGAATTAGTTAAGGGTAACTATGAATTTTTTCAAATCTATTGAGTGGTAATGACATGACTTAAGATCAAAACAAATGATGGTTATACATTAAGCAAAAAATAAAAATAAAAGCTAAGCAAAACATAAAAACCGGTTAAAAAAAAAAAAAATCCATAATATGAATAGTCAATCCATGATAAAATGAGAGAGTGAATAGTGTATTAACAATAAATGCTTCATATCTTTTAGTGTTTTTTGTAATTATAATAATACGTAGAGAACTACTATCCACCAAACTTAGGTAGAGAATTGTAATATATATATTAATGAGACCTACGTTTTTTTAAACTCTATCATATCAGAATTTTCTATTAAAGTGATTTTTCAAACAGAATGTAATAAAATTAGGCTCAATCAATTTAAGAGAATGTTCACGTAGACATTTTCCTATATGAATATACAATGATGTATTTGCAGGATTTTGCACTTTGTTACATGTTCAACAATCTGCTTTTGCTTTTTCATTGTGTCATGGTGATAATTTGATAAGCCTCAACCAAATTAATGTAATCACAAGTTATTAGTTGACAAAGATTTGGATGTGGAAATTGATGTTTGCGCTGAAACTTTTATTAGGAGCTAACCCGTGTTCTTTGTGGTCATTACTAAATACTTGGCCTAAACGAACCTGGAGTAAAATGAGTTGAATTGTAAAGCCAAATTCAGACATAATAATATGTAGAGACAAGACATGGTTATTTGCCTTTAAATTTGTCTTTTGGGTTTTTGGCAGAATATGAAAATACCAAGTAATGAGAACATGCCAAAATTATTCTTGCAAATAATACTGGATAGACGGAGGAGTTAAATTCAAAAGATGTACGACTCAATTGATAACTGAATGATAAGTTGGGCACTGAAGTGGGTTTTTATTTTTCCCTCTCTTCTCTTGACACCCGCCAGGTCTCTTTCCCCAATTCTCCATTTTCCCACTATGTCCCGCCCAAACAAAATTTACGGCTCTCTCTCTCCATTTCAAATTTCACTCCCATTCACAGCAATGAGAGACAAAAAGATTAAAATGCATCAAAAAGACAGCAACGAAACACAAGCGGAGAGACACAGCGACTGAGCAATGGTCACAGACTCTAACAACTCTTTCGCAAAGACAATCTGCTCTATCTGCTATGAAGATCTCAAGCCCATTATCGAAGATCTCCAATCAATCTCCATTTGCGGCCACGTCTTTCACGAGCTCTGGTACGGAAACAATTTCGGATTTGCTTAAATTCTCTAATTTCTACAATTTTCAATTTATTTGTTTGCTTGTTTTTATAAATTTCGAAACTAATTGTGTTAAGATTTCCGTTATTTATGTTGAAACCGTAGCTTGCAGCAGTGGTTTGAATATTGCTCGAATGAAAAGAAGCGTAGCTGTCCAGTTTGCAAGCAGAATTGCTCGGCGCAGAATGCCGGTCGCCTTTATTTTCAGTCGGTTGGGGATCAGACGGAATCGTTTGGGGATCGGAAGGCGGGGGAGAGTGGGGAGGATCCTGACTTGTTGCGCGGAGAAGTGAAGAGTTTGGAAGGGAAATTGTCGGGTCTCAATACGATTTTGGAGGGTCAAATGAAGGAAATCAAGCAGCTGAATGAGGAAGTAAGTTTGATTTTTCTTGTCATCTGTTTTGTTATTTTTGTCTGCGTGAATAATTTGTAGAACACATGGCGTGCAGTAATTTTTGTAGCTGTAATTGATCGAATATATGGCTATTTCAATGAAGTCTTTGAAGCGAACAGATTAATTTTGTTCTTTTCTGGATCTTATGAAGCAATTTTTGTTTCAGTTATATCTTTATAAAAATGAGTTGAAGAAAGAAGTTAAATTGAGGACTGATTCAATGGAACAAAAAGTATCAATTCAGCACCTGCTTCGATCTAAATCTGAGGTGTGTTATCGGATCCACAGTTGTTCTAGATTATTCTTTTCCCAATTAATTGAAGTTTCCTAAGAGGCTTTGGTAAACTGCGTTGTAGGAGCTTGATGCACTGAAGTTGGAGCGCATTAAGCTGCAAGATAGGAATATGGCACTTGCCAAAGAGCTTGTGGCACTCAAACTGTAAGAGCAGTTGTGTTAGGTCCAATTAAATTTTTATTCTTTGGATTCTTTTTATGAACTCTTGTACTTATACAGTTTGCAATTTAGGGTATCAGATGTGAATCTGGAGGAAGATGAGATTTTCAAGCTTGCCTCTTTTGGTAACGTTGCCAATAACAAAGATACTGTAGACATTCTAAGGAAGTCTTTGATCATTCGTAATAAGTAAGTCTTTGATCATTCGTAATAAGTAAGTTGTCCATTTTCCAGTTATAGTAATTAAATGCATTTATGGATGGAGAAAATTATTTTGAGTTTTGGCCTTCAATTGAATTTTAATACTTCTTCTGAATTCCAAAATGTTTAGAGCTGTTAGATTCATCATCAAGGATTGTGTTGTGACAGTAGCAAGCTTTTTTACCCGAGGCCTATCTGTAATGATCAGTGTTTACATGCACCTACCTTCATCGGATAGTTGCTTCTGCTAATGCTACATTTTACCCTATTTTTCCACAGAAGAATAATCTATAGTGACAATGCACCTGATTTATTCTCACTAAATTTTTAACCAGCTATTTTTTTTTTTTTTTGCAAAATATTATCTATGGTGGTTTCTTATATTTACGTGCATCCCTTATTATTATTTTTTTTTGGGGGTTTGGGTATCTAATATGATTCATTGTTGCACATTACTTTTAACAGGAGCTACAAAGAATTGATGGCAAAGTGTAACCAACTTGGACAAGGTGAGGCTCGTTTGTGTAAAAGACTCGAGAAGGCAAAAGAAAAGATCAATAAATTGAAGGTAAGTCTGTGAGGACTTTGCTTAAAATTATCCAATAAAAGCACATTCAGGGAATGGCTTTTGTTTTCTGGTATGTACTAGTCTATAGTTTGGCTCAAATGATTGCTTTGTTGCATTCATCAGACAAGGGTCCAAGAACTAGAGATGGTTGTCGAAGTAAAAGATAATGAAACTTTGAGGGCTTTAAAACCTTCAAAGAAGACGAATTGCAAAGGGTTTGTTGCAGAAGGTATTCAGGATAACTCTAATACCTTCTCCACCAGTATTTCAACAGTCGGTCCAAAGGAACAGCATTGTGTACCTGTGTATGTGACAGGAAGCTCGACCAGTGATCGAGAAAATTTCAGTTTCATCAGTGCCATTTCTTCCAAAGAACGTAATAGAATCACAGCTCTTCACGAACAGGGAAATGGTTATTATACAAGAGATGAAGCAGCTTTGAATCTTTCTACAGCTGTGCATGTAATTCTAGACCCTGATTCAAAACATCAGACCAGAGAGGCTGACTCTACTCTTGCAAAGTTAGAAGCAGTTTCTGATATTCATGGGGAAGCCAAAGTGCACAAAACAGTGAATCCAGCTGGACCTTTTGGTATAAGAACTGCAATTAACATTGACAAGAGCAATACTCTTGATTCTGCTACAGATGAGGGAGTTGCTGTGTCTCTTGATGACATCAGAGAGGTTCAACCCATTCTCAACATTAGAAAAGACTCCCTATCACCAGCTCCACTTTCCAGACCAGGTAACTTGCTGTTGGTATCATTTAAGTTTGATATAATCAGTTTCAAGTAGTTGCTTGAAGCAAACTTGTGATATAACTACATGCATATAGTGTACTTTTGTCCTCCCTATAATGCATATTTTGGAAGATTACTTAGAATCTGACATTAGCTGTTTATTATGACTCTAAACTGCCAGGGGATGTATGTTTCTCTAGTGGATTGATGGGTCCGGATGGAACGAACCGGTACTTAGGGAGATGGTGCAAGCGCGGTAAAAGCAAGGGATCAGTGGACATGCAAGGTACAAGTGCAAGTAGTGGGGATTTAATTGCTGTTGGATCTGATGGGAGAGGTGGTAGAGTTAAAGTGCTGAGATCTATAAATCAGTCATCATTGGTGGGTAATGCATGTATGCAATCATTTAATTATTAGTTTGATATATTTTGGTTTGAAACATCCATGTCTTTGCAACTTGTAGCTGCCTGCACTAGCTGCACTTGTTGCTACTCCAGTACTGGTAACACAATCTTGCTCATACTTACATTTTGTTCTTCAATGGACTATTGATTAGTTTTCTGTTCATTTTGAAAATAGAGAGCATTAAGATCGTTACAACTGCATATCCTTTCATCTTTGTGGTTTTCTTGCTGCTATTTCTTTTGTAATCTATGTTGTATCTAGAATCACATATCTCCATATCACAACTTTGTTATGAAATAGATTGCTTGACTTCTAACTGTAACCCTTTTATGCAGGATGGAAAAGGAAATTCTGTATCTGCCAAGAAGTGCAAGTATGGACCTAAAACAAGCAATTTGCAATCTCAAGGCTGTTTGCAGATAGAAAACTTCTTTGGGAGGGCCAGTCAGTAATCAAAGGTGTGCCTTTTAGTGTGTGCAATGTCTTAGTTATGATAGTGTATTTCAGAAATAGTAAAATGCTTTTAGGAGGTTTGGAAGGAAATTGAATTCTACATTCTTTCCACTCAATTATACTTGTATGATTTTCTTCCTCTTACACCCTCATTATTCATAATTTAACCAAGTGACGAAGTGGTTGCTGTGCTTTTAAGTCTCGCAACCAATAACTTAATTGGGCACATTACGGCTGGTTAAATGGTTTTTGTTGTTAGACGTTTTTGGGACTTCTGAAAATTTATAAGTTGAAATTTATTTGTTTTGAGATATGAGTTATTGTTAATTTCGGAGTTATTACTTAATATTAAAAGAACTATGAACCTAAAATTGATGTTGGTTTAGAGATTTTAGAACAATAAGTTGATTATGCCTTTTTGCGAAGATGTCAATCATTCAAAGGCAATCTTTTTGAGGAAAGGTACTATGTTTGGTTTAATCTTCAAAAGTTTATTTTCAAAAAAACATTATTTTTGCCAAAATATTTTTGAGTCAATTTCTAAGTTTATTAGTTAAGCTAAATTCATTTTTTTATTTTTATTTGTGGTATTATATTGAATCGATCATCGAACCTCAATGTCGGAAGTTTTATCAATTTAACATCGGATTTAGTTTCGGTCTCGACATAATTGATATGTCGAGAAAATAATTTAATTTATAAAATTTGATTAATTTTAAATTAACATTAATTCTAATTGGATAGGAGATGTTTGTATTGGATAGGAGATTTGTTAAAATTACTTAAAACATTTTTTCTTCATGTTTTATTTTGAGCAATGCGAGGAAAATATTATTAAAATTATTATTATTTTTACGGCATTGTATTAAATTAATGTTAGACTTTAAAATTTGAGTCTTGTCAATTTAGTATTGGATTCGAATTAAAGTCTTGACACGATCGGCATGTCGAGGAACAACTTAATTAATTAAAAATATTTATGTGAAATGTTAAATAAATTCAACTCGAATAGATTTATTATTCTTTTAGCATTTTCATTGTTAGATAAAATATATTGAAACTATCGTTTGTCTTTAATAAATAGGAGATTTGTTGGTTCGATATTATAATTGAATTAATTACATATATTAAAATAAATCTCATAACCTAAATATTTTCAAATTTTCTAACATAAATAAAATTAACATTATTACAAAATAATATCATAAAATAATTTAAAAAAGGATAAGAAACCAAATCGAATGGTGACCAAAATGTCCATTGGAATGCTATTGAAAATTACCAAAATACCTATAGGGCTATCTTATTAAAATGCTCCTACATGTTAAAATTATGAAATCACCTTTTGGAACCCTAATGCTACTCGTCACCATCCATGGTTGTCATTCGGTGAGCTTTAGGCTTGTGATTGGTTTAGGAACGTCGAGGTTTGCTAGTTCATTTGGAGTAGGTTATGCGAGTCACAAATTGCTCCCTAGGTATCGCTAATGGTTGCCATTTTCTTTTTTTCTCCTACCGTGATTTTGACCACGATGAGGGTTAAGGAGGATACCAATTGACTCGAGAAGATAATGAGGAGTGTTTTTTCGGTAGTTTGGAGGTCCAGTTTGATCGAAAATGAAAGATTTAGTTGGGTCTTCAAAAATGTGTTGGGATGATTGCTTTGTTCGATTCGGCTAATTTTTGGCGATGTTGAATTGTGATTTTAGGGGAAAATTGCTTCTAGGAGGGTAAAGAGTGTTTCTCTAGTAGTGGGATAGACTACTTTGGTCAAAAAATGAAGAATAGTTTGGGTTGTTATCCGAGGTCGGGTTTCGTGATTTCTCCTCCAATTTTTGGTCTTCTCTTTCTCTAACCGAGTAGGAAATGGTGGCTTTAGTGGTGGGCTATCAATTGGTGGTGGCGAGTTGGAGGCAACTTCGATTGAGGAACGATTGATTTGAAGGGTGAATGTCGGCGGGTAAACAGAGCCAACCTATGGATTGATGAGTCTAGTCCTCTCCTTAAGGGTTTGGTTGATTTTTAGGTTTTTTTTCTTTTTTGGGATTCATTTCCTCTACATTTTTAGGGAGAGATGAAAGGAAAAACGAGTGATGGAGGTTAGGATTTTTAGGGCGGGGAGAATAATTGAGGAGGCCCCCTTAAAATGAAGTGAAAATATGTTTATATAGGAATTTTGTAGGTTTTCGGATAAAATCAATTTAGGCCATTTCATGGATTATTTTTATCAATTTCAATGTATATGTTATTATTTGTCTCTAATTAACTCTTTAATTTAATTGAAATTGTTTAATCCTTATTCTCTTGATTTTCATTAATTTCGCACTAATTAATTTTTAATCAAGTTTCATGATTTTTATCCTTTTCTAATTATATCCCCAATTGGATGTTACTTAATCTTTGCTTTGCATATCATTTTTAATTGGATCCCAAATTATATTCTCAATTTATTTTATTATTTTTTAATTAAAAATAAGGACTAATCTTGAGAAATTAAAATTCTAGAAATTATAAAAATACCTAAAAATCGGGAAAAAGATAAATTATGCAACATTTTATTTTATTTTATTTTTTTGTATTTTTGAATCTCTTTTTTATATGAAAATAAATAGGGGTTCAAAAATAGATTATAATAGTTATCTCTCTTTACAATGATTATGATATAAAGTCAAATGAAAAAAAAATGTTTTTTAATGACTTTGCCTAGTAAGCTTCTAAAGAATTTTTTTTATATTTTTTTGCAAGATTGGTTTGGTTGTTTCGAATGACCTTTATTGAAAAATAAAAACAATGGTCTTGTTTTTATGAGTGACCAACATTGAAAGTAAAATGTGATGATTTTGTTATCTAGGCGGCTTGTCCAAAATGTAAAAATGCAATGGCCTTGTTGTTTGGGAGGTCCATTTGAAAAAATAGAATACGATGGCCTTGTTATTTGGACAACTTGTACGAAAAAGTAAAATGTGATGGCTTTGTTATTTGGGTTGCTTGTTTGAAAAAGTAAAATTTGATGATCTTGTTATCCGAGTGTCATGTCGGAAAAAATAAAATGCAATAGCCTCATTGTGCGGGATGATTTATCTCAAAAAGTAAAATGCGATAGTCTCTATCCTACCAATGATAATGATTAAAATGAGAAACTAGAGTAGACGGTAGATTAAGATATAAAAAAAACAAGTTAACACTACTAATTAAAAAGTTAATAAAAGAACAAGATTAACCCAAAAATCAAATGTAAAAAAATGAATTAATACAAAAAAAAAAAAAATAGAGCGACAAAAAAGAAGAAGAATATTTATAATCATTAACTTTTTCTTAAGTGTCGTGTTGAGAATTTTTTTTTTTTACTAGGAAGGCATTGGGTCTTTCTTCTCATGATTCCGAATGCAATTCACTCGTTCAACGGGAAGATAACAAGCTCTAAAATCCAAGTAGTTCTTTTTTTATATTTTTCATTTTGTTAAATCAAAATGATACTAAAACTAACTCCAGTTACTTTTTTTTTGTCGTTTCTATTTTTTGGTCCCTTCCAAAAAAGAAGGAAAAATAAATCTTTTCATTATGTTTTGATTCTAAAAAGAGAGAACAATTTTTTTGTGTCTAATTTTTTTATTTTTTTTCTGTTTTGGTGTTAATTGTTGATTTCTTATGATTTGCTAACCAAGCTTTGATTTGTTGTTTATTTTGGTGCCCAAGTTCACTCGAAATCTAATTTCTGTCGACATTTTTAGCGAGATCCGCCACGTGGTAGTCAACCTCGCGATGTCGGCATCTCATACTCTCATATAGCTATTGGCACTTAAATAGAAAAAATGAAATGTTAGGTATTGGAATAGAAAAAAATAAAAAATTGGGTACCGAAAATATAGTTTTTTAAAGAAATATATTGTCTCGAGATTGCAAAATTAGTCCAACAATTTTGATAAATATTTTTTATATAATGCTTATGACATTTTTTTTACTTATTAGTGATAATTTTTAATATTATGTATCGGTTGAAAATTACTTTTAAAAATTCTAAACCCCTTTACATCTATAGAAAAAATTTAAATTATGTCATTTAATTCATATATATATATATAAGGTCCAATTAAGATTAAATTTTAAAAAATAAAAGACAAACAAGATCCAATTATGATGGTATAGAATCGATATAAATAAGTTTAGTGATCAAGCTTTTTGATTTGAACGTTTAAAGTGTAATATTTTTTGTAATGATAGAAGTAATAAGTAAATTGTGAATTAGGCTAAAAATTAAATGCATTTTTAAAATTACTTGTGCAATTAGGATAATAACAAAAAAATATGCATGCATATAATTGTCGATATTTTTAAAATTTAAAATTATATTATTTTCAATTTCGAAAAGAAAGTTTTAAGAGATGAGATGATATACATATATCGAAGCACAAGAAATACATGAAATCTATTTATAATAAAGAAAATATATATCAAAGGATAAAGAAGGGATAGATATTCGATGTGAGAAAGTTGAAATAAATTTCGGAGAAAACTATATTTTTGGTGTCCAACCATTGATATTTTTTTTCTATTTTGGTGTCCAATCTTTAATTTTTTTTTTCGTTTCAATGCCTAACCTTTTTTTTTTTTCTATTTGAGTGCCCACAACCATCCGAGAGTATGAGGTGCCGACGTGATAGAGTTGATCGTCACATGTCTTTTTTTTACCGCTATGTGGTAGGTTTCGTCGGACATGTTAGGAAAATTAGACTACGAGTGAACTAGAGCACCAAACAAATATAAAATCAAAGCTTGGGTAGCAAATTATGAGAAATCAACGATTGAGTACTAAAACAAAAAAAAATCAAAAGTTAGGCATCAAAAAAATATTTCTCTCTTCTAAAAAATCAAGTCACGACACTAAAGGTGTATTGGCGAAGGAGACAAAATAGTTATATTTTCTATTTCCTCTTTTAATGTTTTACATTATTGTTTATGCGTGCATCTCGTTTTGAGTTAGTATCGGTGTTATCACATG